TCAGTAACTTAAAAACTCACAATTATAAAATTTTAATTCAAATCTAACCCACAACCAGTAACACATAACTTAACTAAAACAAAATAACAATATGCAAATGAATGCATTGAAATCAAAATCACAAAAAACAACCACCCAATCTTCCTTCTTTCTAAAAGGTCAGGTGAGCAGCAAAGCTTCACCAGAAATATAACCAATAAAAAATTTAGGTCAGTCCTATGCCAGCAAAAAAAGAAACAAAAACAAAATACCTGCACTGCATCCCACTGCAACAAATAACACATTTACAGTATTTCTACAGAGCTCTTATTACAACAGGCAATGAAAACCATGCATGCTCACTAAATACATGGACTATATTTAAAAAATCATCTAAAAAAAAAAAAAAGCCAAAAGGAAAAGGACATAAATCATGATTTAAAAAAAGGACTAACATCAAGATTCGAAAGAAAATACAATTGCGGAAATGCATCCAAGTATTCACATTAATATTCACATTTCTTTTAATGGGTTGTTAATATTTTTGTCTATCTAGATAGATAGGCAGAAAAAAACATAAAAGTCCTTTCCTCACTATAAACTGCTGGAGTTATTTAATACAGTTAGTATCACTCACTTTAAAACACATACCTGCACACACAAAGTAAGTGAACCAAAAACATAGAACTTTCAACCATGTAGTAGAAGTAAAATGAATTACTTCCAGTGCTGCGTATCCAATCCAACAAAAATTAAACTTCGCAAACTCACTTCCTCTATTATTTTTCCTTTCCCTCCCCCCCCCAAAAAAAAAGTCTGACTGAAAATTATTCACTAACACATTTAATGCTTCACCACAGACTATGTAAATATTATTATGGAAATATGTATATAAATGTTATAAAAGATACCATAATCAAATCAAATACATTTTTTTTCTCTGTCAAGCCATTAGAATAATCATATCTTGATAGTAGTTAATGAAAACAATAATTTTTTACTAAATTCCTGCTACTGCTCATGACTCAGACACACACAATCAATATCTCATGGAATACTATGAAGTTAAAATAACATAGGAAGTTTCCCAATTTGGGATACTTGAAATAATATATTTTGATCCACCTGAATACAAAACAGCAATGAACAATATTAAATCTGATTTAAACAACCACATAAAGCCATCACAGAATACTATGTTCATACTTCCATTATTGGAAAACTATATCACCAGTTGTAACTAGTTGTAAATAACAATAATTTCTGTTTCTAGATGCAATAATCATAAAATAGTCTTTACACCAATACCGATAACTGGTTAAAACAGCTTAGGATTACTTTGCATTTAATCGCATTCAAAACTTAATATTCATCAGTATTAATGAAACAAAATTATATGTATTTTGATGCGAATATCGTAATAATCCTCGCTATTACTGTATTACTATTACTGGGCAATTTCTTATCTACGCATAATTCAATATGCAAAGGCTCATATCCATCACTAATACTGAAATGCACTGCCTTATGAAAATGCATTTTTATGTACACTGCTTAATATCCAACATGAACAATGAAAGACAATTCCACCCGTGTTTACATCTCCAACGATGCACTCGCGAAACGTTACATGCACAACTCTACGGGGATCACACGCCAGATTTACATAACTCGGCCTGTGCATCGGACCACAAGAGATGGTATGCTGCGGTAATCACGTTCTCAATGATGGGAAAAACAAGCGAATTCATAAAAGTGTATACGATATTACTCCTTCCACTATTGCATTTACGGTCATTCATCCATATTGATGTATGAGCATTTGGCTATAAAAATTCGACAAACACGCCCTGGAGACTTACCATGCGGAAACACGTAATAAAAACTCTCAAACAAATTTTCCAATGGACCATGTCATTCGCTAACTTCTAAAAGTAAAAACAGTGTACCTGAACAAAGGTTCGTGTGTGCGATCAATACCTATGTCCAACATAATAAAAATATCAATTACACTGATTATGATGTTATAATAATAACAACAATAACAACATTGGTAATATCAATGGCAATGATGATGATGATGATTTTATAACAACACAACAGTAATAATAAGATAAAGAATACAAACAGAACGAACAATTCTGGAACAGCGAACCAAGTGGAATGCCGAACATCCATGCTTGCCAACAAACGCCTAACCAAACCACTCAAGCAATAATTAAAGAGCATTATCGGACGAAAGAAAATCAATTAGAAAATACGGGTATTAAATATATAACGCTGACAATGAAAATGCAGTAAGTCAAGATTCGACGGTGATATTCACACACACAAAAAAAATACATAGGTGAAAAGCTAAATAGTAAATGTTGAAAAATACTAATTACAATACAGCAAAAAAGAATAAAAAATAAAAACAACAACAAGCATTGGCAATAGCAAGAACAGTGCACGAGGGAGAGAAGCACATTTGAATCACCCGCCTTGAGAGAGAGCGCCGACAGAGGGCGAGCGATCAGCT